AGCCCCCCAGTGAGGGAAGCTCCCAGCCTCTCCTTTTTTTCTTTTTTTTTGTTTTTTTATTCTGGAATTTATTTACCTCTATAATTGAAACTTTGTTGCCTGAGGGAGCTCAGAGCTGGCCACGGCAGGCAGGAAATTTGGCTTTCTCCATCACTGGAGTAACCAAGCCTCCTGCTCACTCTAGCTCCGTGGCTGCCTGCCGCCATCTTGGTTGGGTTAATTCGCTCTGATTGGCTGGTGGGCGTTGCTTAAGGCATAGTGAAGGTATGGTCAATTTCCATGTTTGTCTTTTATTAGATATAGGATAGGATATGTATAGGCAGCACAACTAAGAGAAAGCAAAGAAATGAGCGATAAAATTTATAATACTGGTTACCTCTGGGGAATGTGGGACATGGTGCCATCAGAGAGGGGCACATAGAGGCCTTTGAAGGTATTCTACCTTATTTCTTACCTTGCTTGGGTGGTAGATTCATGGGTTTTCATTTTTTTCTTTGAACTACATATTTATGTTTTATACTCTTTTTTGTACATATACTGTGTTTCACAATTAAAAAAACTAACTAGTTTATATTTTTTTCAGTGTTTTTGCAGCAATTTTTGTTATAAAGCATCTAAGTTTTTTGAAGCACAAATTCCTAAAACTCCAGTATGGGTTCGAGAAGAAGAAAGGTAATTTAAATCATTGTATATACATTTGTCCATATATTCTAAAAATTTCCTTCTGCTTTTTGAGGTATGCAGAAAATAGATCTAAGTCTCTTTGGAATATACCACTGTATACATTTTAATTGTGGGGAAATGGTTATATTTTAAGAATAACTATTAAGGATTTTACACTTAAAATCAGAAAATTAATACATGCAAATGTTTTGTGTATTATTTTAGCTTTAATCACAAAATTTGAACTTTGCTTCCTGCTACACTGGTTCGTTCTTTCTTTTTAAAAGATTTAATTGGCTTTTTCAATGAATCATGAATCAGGTAGCATCCCATCTAGTGAATAGAAAGGTGCTCTCGGCCAGTTATTTCTTTTAATATTTCTATTAATATAGTAGTCCTGGAGTAAGAATGTTAAATTTTTTCAGAAGATACTGGATCTTGGAATCCAACTCATCTCAGTTTGTTGTTAGGAAACTATGTTCTAAGATTTAAAAGTTCATGTTACTAATTTGTTCAATCTTTATTAAACATCAGTATAATATTTTATAAATTTAAAGAGCCCCAAATGAGAGTCATTTTTAGCAAAAAGGTTTATGGACATTCCTGGAATTTTGCCTCTTGGGAAATGTTTAAGCATTTACATTTTAGTAGTTGCTGAATTTGAGAGAAAATTTATTATTGTGGGAACAAATGGCATAATAATATAAAAAGAGTAACAAAAATTATTGTTATACTAGAGGCCCAGTGCATGAAATTTGTGTGGGGGGCTCAGCCCAGCCTGCACCTTCTTCAATCCAGGACCCCTCAGGGGATGTCCGACTGCCTGTTTAGGCCCGATTTTGGGGATCGGGCCTAAACAGGCTGTCGGACATCCCTCTCACAATCCGGGACCACTGGATCCCAACCACTCGTCTGCCTGCCTGCCTGATTGCCCCTAACCACTTCTGCCTACCAGCCTGATCACACCCTAACCACTCCCCTGCCAGCCTGATCAACACCTAACTGTTCCCCTGCCGGCCCAATTGTCCCCAACTGCCCTTCCCTGCTGGCCCAGTCCCCCCAACTGACCTCCCTTGCAGGCCTAGTCCCCCCCAACTGCCCTCTCCTGCTGGCCTGGTTTCCCCCCATT